TACACAATGTATTAATTTTAGTTAGTTGGTTATGTATTTTTTAAATAAAAAAAAAATTTTGAATTTACTTACTTGTAGCCGGAGTTAGAGGTGGTCGGATACTTATGACCGCTACTGTAAATAATATATAATTATACAGAATTCTTATATAATATATATATAATACATATATCTTATATCAGAACATCAGAAAAATATAAGAATAGTTAAAATTAATTATAATGATCAAAATTATTATAAAAGTTAAAATCAATTATGATAGTTAAGAATCAATTATGATCCTAAAATACTTGTCCTAATTTCATATAAATTAAAATCAAACATTTAATGATCTATCATACTTTTTATCTATTATGAAATAAAATATTTACAAATTATATTTTTTTTGAAAAAAAAGTTAGAAAATATATTTAATTTTTTACCTATTACATTATACAATAAAAGAATATTCAAAATATATAATAGATTATGCTAAAAAGGTTCTCTATTATTTAATTTTATGTTTATTCTTTATTTCTTATAAATTATTTTTGATTTATAAATTAATAAAAATTAACAACTTTTTAATATTTCACATTAAATTCTTTATTATTACATTGATAATTCTAAGAAAAATAGATTTATAATTTTGAAAAGATCTATATTAAATAACAAAACTTTAAATAAATGCTATTAAACCATTAAGATCTAATTTATTGATTTATTACACTTCTGCTTACATGTAATACAATCGGAACTGAGAAATTGAAGCTACTTTTTATCCATACTTATCAAAATCCATGAATATTACATGAAAAAAAGGAAGATTTACCAGTTAATTATTACTTAAATTCAACTGCTTAGATAAATGATAAATGTATGAGATCACGTGCTAGACTTGAACCTAAAATTGTGATACGCATTTGTAATTGTCACTTAATCGTGACTTGTGACACTTATTGACTCGATTATTTTCATTTATAAAGATCAAAAAAAAAAAAATTGTTTTTTTTTTCCGATTATCTCCCCTCATCGGTTATTTAACAATGATGATAAAATTACAAACATCAACCGCACTATCAATAATGAATAAGTATGTTGTAAATAATACTATAAAGTTAATTCAAAGAAAAGAATTCAAATGCTTTTTATGTAATAAACAATACCGAGAATTTTTTAATGCAAAGGATGAAAAAAAATATAAATATTCTCTATTTGATAGTGGTAAAAGTAGATTCACATCGTCATCAAAATTATTCACAACAACAACTTCAATACCATCAACTATAACAACGACCACGACATCGATAACAACCCCAACAACGATCATGCAAACAACAATTTCATCACCTACAACCACAACAGCAAAAGACATAAAACAAATCGAGCAAATTGAAATAACCATCAAAAACCTTCAAAGATTGATTGAAGATAAAAAAGTTGAATTAAAAGATATAGAAACATTTCCCGAACTAACAAACCTATTAATTAAACAATTAATAGACTTAGAAATTAATAATGGAATGAAGTCAATCATGTGGATATATGATAGATTTGGTGATGATAGTGATTACAATGTATTAACACACGAATCAAAAGGTTTAATCATTCGAGAATTATTAAAGTACAAACTAAGGGAAAAGGCGGTAATGATAATGCAAAAGATGTTAATCGATGATAATTATATACCCGAATCTTCATTAATTCATGAGTTGATTGATAACCTCGGTCGTAGATCTAATAAGTTATATTTGATTGAAACCCTATTTGATACAATAATAAAAAAGGAAATACGCGAAATAGATTACAGTAAAATTTATACAAAACTTATGGAATTAGAAATTTCAGCTTTTAATATGGACAAAGCTGTAAAATATTTTAACGAAATGAAAGAAAAGAAGGGAATTGAACCTAATGAAATCAATTACCTTTTTTTAATTAGTGGATATTCTAATATGAACATGATGGATAAAGCCGAGTATTATTTTAATTTAATGATCGAAGAGAACAAGATAGCACCAACGATTGAAATCTTTACAACTTTGATTAATCATCATTTAAGATTATTAAACATTGAAAGGTCAGAACAATTATTTAAGACAATGAAATCTTATAATATTCATCCAAATATTATAACTTATAACGCGATTATAAACAATTCTGTTGTTAAATTTGACATGGAAACAGCGGAAAAATTTTTTAATGAAGTAATTGAATCGAATATTCAACCGGATATCGCAACATTTTCAACCTTGCTAAAAGGATACCTTAATGCTGGAGATATTGTTAGAGCTTTACAAATTAACGACATGATGCGAAAGTATGAAATCATACCGAATCGAGCTTATATTACACATTTAATGAAGGTTTATATTCAAAACAAGGATTTTGAACAGGCGGAAAAGGTTTACACCACAATGATTGAACAACCCACGACGTCCAGAGCAACATCATCATCATCTCAGCAAGTAAATTCTGATTTAATTAAATCCAACATTAAAAGCTTAACTTTTCATTTAAAAACTTTATTGCAAGAGACGAGAGATAAAAATTATGCATATGAATTATACAAGAAATATTTGGAAAAGTTTGACAATTATGAATTGAAGTTTACTCCTGATACGTACTTTTTTACCATATTTATTTCTTCATTTGCTCAACAATTCCTTGACGTTTCTTTGGCCGTTGAATTATTTGAAGAAATGAAACGTCGTGAGATCAAACCTTCAATCGTTACTTATACTATATTAATTGATGGTTTTGCTTTAAAAGGCCAGGTTGATGAGGCCGTGGAATACTTTGAAAGAATGAAACAAGATTCTATCAACCCTAATATTTATACCTATACTAGTCTGATCAAGGCTTGGATTCAAGTGCGTAGGATAGATAAAGTGAAAGAAGTTTATAATGAGATGATTAGTAAAAACATTAAACCTGTTAACGCTACCTTGAGGGCTTTACAAAAAATTCGACGAGGAGATTTAATTGATCAAACTCCAAAATCACAAAAGGAAGCTCATTTTTGGGGTGGTAAATTATGGGTATCAAAAGACGTTGAAACAATCGATAGATTATTTCAAAGTTTCTTATTATCCGTGTCAAATTCTTTTTCCAATAATGATGATTATAAACCTAATGTTAAAACTTTTCGTTACTTTATTAATTGTTATTTATTTAAATACGAAAATTTAACTAAAGCATTACAAGTTTTTCAAGAAATGGTAAAATTGAATATTAAACCCGATTATTTAATTTATTGTTGTTTTATTAAAGGTTGTTGTATGCTAGGTCAAGTTGAAAAATCAGATTCTATATTAGAAATCATGAAAAGTCAAAATATCAGTCCCAATGATTATATTTATATTAATTTAATAAAAGGTTGGAAAAAAATTCGAAGAAAAGATAAATGTGAAGAATTGCATAAAGCATTAATGAAATTTAAGCGAGAGAAGGAAAAGTATTAAATAAAAAAAAAAATCATCACTTTTACAAATGTTTGATTAGCATATTAAAGATCTTTCTTTAATTTGTACGAAAATGGATATATTAAATTAAGATCTTCCAAACTTATAAACTCGCTATTGATTCTCTATTATAAATAAACACTATTATTACAACAAAAGGGTAATAATAATTTTAATGGCAATTACGTTGACATCCAAAGATTCGATAAATCTAATCCTTTTCCCAAATTCTCATAAAAACTTATGAGTAATAATAATTTACAATTGTACATACCTGTGGATTCAAATAAAAATATAATTAATGTAAATCTTTTATTATGGATTAAGATCAATTTTTAACTTAAGAAACGTACGTGGCATCTATTTGAGTTAATTGAGGTAAATGGGTTTTGATTTTTAGTCTATATGTTGCATGATTATCCACTTGCATTGGATTTCCTTCCAGATAAACCGTAGTCATCTTTTTAAGATGGGCCAATTGCACTGATAATTCTTCGAAATTTGTCAATTGATTATTACTAGCCTTAAAATAAGAAAAAGAAAAATATTAAATCAACTAAAGTTTTGTTATCAAATTCAAACGATCATAGATAACTACCCAAAATTCTTCTAATTCCGTCAAATGAGATATATTTTCAATTTTTTTTATAAGATTGTTGCTAATATCAATGACTCTCAATTTCAACTATAAGATATAGAATTGTGTTATTAAATCCATGAAAAAATAAAATAAGATAGATAATAAAGATACAAACATTCTTTTCAAACCCTTCAAGTTTCTGAATACCATTATGACTCAAATAGATTTCCTCCAAATTAACCAAACCCTCCAATCCCTTTAATTTAGTCAAACGATTACTTTGTATACTAAGAATTTTAAGATTCCTTAAGCTATTCAAATTCTAAAGGAGATGTTATTTAGTTTCAAATATTTACAAAATGATAATAACAAAATTAAAGAATTGGTTCAAACATTTAATTCTGCAATCTTATTCTTTCCAAGCCACAATTGTTCCAAATTAACAAGTTTATCTAAATTTTCAATGACCTAACAAAATAATTCTCGTAAATATATATATATAACTATATATTTTTTTTTAAATAAAAATAAAAAGATTGAAAGATAAACATACATACTCTAATTCTATTTGCACCCAATTCCAAATTAGTTAAATTTACCAAAGTGTCCAAATTTTGAATCTTTGATAATTTATTTTGAACGAAATAAATATTCGTTAATTTAATTAAATTTCCAACATTTTCAATAACTCGAATTTTATTAAAAGACAAATCCAATGAACTATTTAGTCATACGGAAAAAAAAATTTAGTGATGGTATCTCCAAAAAAAAACTTTTAAATATGCAAATCTCATATATTACATTAAATATTTACTCTAATTCAGTCAATTTTTCTAAATTTTCTATGTATGATATTCGATTATCATAAAAATCGAGATCTTTAAGGTTCGATAAATTATCAAGTCCTTCAACTTTAGTAATAAGATTTTGTCGAAGACATAATCTCTTTTATAATTAGAAATAAAAATGAAGTAAATTATCTGATGCATGTAAATTTACGCATGATCTACAATGAAAAGTTATAATATTACCTGTAGTTTTGGAAATCTTTCAAGTCTTAGACTTGGGATATCATTTAAACGCAAATGTAATAATTCAATTTCCTAAATAATATAATGAAAATCTAATAAAGGTTGACATAGATGACAAATTAGATCGAACAAACGATTATACCTCAGTATCTTCCTCATAATCTCCAAGAAGATCAACTAAATAATTTTCATCGTTAATAACTTGGCAAATTATTGTTTAAAAAATTATTATTTACACAAATCACCTTCTTCCTCATTATTGTCATTGGATTCATGGACAATTTCGCATTCTGTTTCGCTATTATCAGAAATATAAGTTTCTGATGGGGCTTTTTTTGACATTTTTATTATTATCTTTACAATCAAAAAGTATGATGGAAAAAGTTGCTCAAAATTCGGGAAAAATCAAAATTTATTTATATCAAATTTATTGGCATTGAGATCACATGAAATTACGATGATTACGTACTTTTTGGCTATCATCCAACCAAATCGAGATAAATGTACGTAATTACCATTGGTGAAATTACTAGCTCGGACACATATTAAGACAACACCTTCTTTTGGATTAATGAGTCTGATGTGGCATGACTTTGAGAAAGATTATCAAAAAATAAAGTTTATTAAAAATAAAATTTGGAACTTTTAATGTAATACAAAAATTTTGATTTCTTGTTAAACGAGCAGACACGTTATTTAATTAACGAAAGAAGAGACAGGAATACAGAATACCATAATATTGTTGGATGCAGTAAAGTTGATTTTTGGGAAAGCGTGGCGAGAAAAATTAACCAAACGTTTCGGTTCTAATTTCGGTAGTTATCAATGTAGTAGAAAATTTACTACCCTCTTTAGGAATTATCAAGTAAGTTGATAGGTGACTTGTCATTCATCACTTGCCAAGGAAATTTACGTTTAACCTTTATGACTAGTTAATGTGTTTGTACATTGCCAGAAGTAGTAAAGGAAAGAGAAGCAAGAACGGTGAAATGTATTTCAATGAATTTCACACAATTTTGGTTAAGACTGGGTAAATTTCCTCCTGAAATATTTTCAAGTACCGATTTTCTCTGGTCCCTAAATTTTTTTCTTATCCTAAAATTTTGCAACATAAAAATTTTTAGTTACCCGATTCGATATTATGAGATATACCGCTATGCGCTCCCTAAGGCGCCGAAGCAGGAATCGTTATTCACATTATTCACATAATCCATCATCACAAACATTCAATCGTCAACAACATTCTCCACGATCGTCTGGTGAAGGTTCCTACAGCATTTATTTTGAAAACAGCTGTAAATTTTTTCTTTTTTATTGATATATATTTAAAAAAAAGCTACTGGCAAGGTGAAATGTAATAAATGGGTTTTTTGTAAGAGAAATGGGTTTTACGCAAAACTAAAATTATCAAATAAAACACAGTCGCCGTGGTAAAACTGCGTAAAAATATCATAAATTTTATGTAAAAAAGATCTCCTGATGAGCCCTTCTAGAATTAGTAATTTTAAAACTTCAAAATTTATTTTTTTACAAATGTGAGATTGATAGAAAAAATACAATTACAGACACAGTAAAACTTTTCAAATCATTTATCATTTTCATTTTTCATTTTATTTTGTGATATAAAATTTTTTATCCTGGCTTCAATTTGATATTATAGCAATATTTTGAGTGCGATTTATTT